GGGACCTCACACCTACCATAGTACCAGGTACCTCACACCTACCATGGTACCAGGGACCTCACCTACCATGGTACCAGGTACCTCACACCTACCATGGTATCAGGTACCTCACACCTACCATGGTACCAGGGACCTCACACCTACCATGGTACCAGGGACCTCACACCTACCATGGTACCAGGGACCTCACACCTACCATAGTACCAGGGACCTCACACCTACCATGGGACCTCACACCTACCATAGTACCAGGTACCTCACACCTACCATGGTACCAGGGACCTCACACCTACCATGGTACCAGGGACCTCACACCTACCATGGTACCAGGGACCTCACACCTACCATGGTACCAGGGACCTCACACCTACCATGGTACCAGGGACCTCACACCTACCATGGTACCAGGGACCTCACACCTACCATGGTACCAGGGACCTCACACCTACCATGGTACCAGGGACCTCACACCTACCATGGTGCCAGGGACCTCACACCTACCATGGTACCAGGGACCTCACACCTACCATGGTACCAGGGACCTCACACCTACCATGGTACCATGGTACCTCACACCTACCATGGTACCAGGGACCTCACACCTACCATGGTGCCAGGGACCTCACACCTACCATGGTACCAGGGACCTCACACCTACCATGGTACCAGGTACCTCACACCTACCATGGTACCAGGGACCTCACACCTACCATGGTACCAGGGACCTCACACCTACCATGGTACCAGGGACCTCACACCTACCATGGTACCAGGGACCTCACACCTACCATGGTACCAGGGACCTCACACCTACCATGGTACCAGGGACCTCACACCTACCATGGTACCAGGGACCTCACACCTACCATGGTACCAGGGTACCACCTCACACCTACCATGGTACCAGGGACCTCACACCTACCATGGTACCAGGGACCTCACACCTACCATGGTACCAGGGACCTCACACCTACCATGGTACCAGGGACCTCACACCTACCAGGGACCTCACACCTACCATGGTACCAGGGACCTCACACCTACCATGGTACCAGGGACCTCACACCTACCATGGTACCAGGGACCTCACACCTACCATGGTACCAGGGACCTCACACCTACCATGGTACCAGGGACCTCACACCTACCATGGTACCAGGGACCTCACACCTACCATGGTACCAGGGACCTCACACCTACCATGGTACCAGGGACCTCACACCTACCATGGTACCAGGGACCTCACACCTACCATGGTACCAGGGACCTCACACCTACCATGGTACCAGGGACCTCACACCTACCATGGTACCAGGGACCTCACACCTACCATGGTACCAGGGACCTCACACCTACCATGGTACCAGGGACCTCACACCTACCAGGGACCTCACACCTACCATGGTACCAGGGACCTCACACCTACCATGGTACCAGGGACCTCACACCTACCATGGTACCAGGGACCTCACACCTACCATGGTACCAGGGACCTCACACCTACCATGGTACCAGGGACCTCACACCTACCATGGTACCAGGGACCTCACACCTACCTACCACCTCACACCTACCATGGTACCATGGTACCAGGGACCTCACACCTACCATGGTACAGGGACCTCACACCTACCATGGTACCAGGGACCTCACACCTACCATGGTACCAGGGACCTCACACCTACCATGGTACCAGGGACCTCACACCTACCATGGTACCAGGGACCTCACACCTACCATGGTACCAGGGACCTCACACCTACCATGGTACCAGGGACCTCACACCTACCATGGTACCAGGGACCTCACACCTACCATGGTACCAGGGACCTCACACCTACCATGGTACCAGGGACCTCACACCTACCATGGTACCAGGGACCTCACACCTACCATGGTACCAGGGACCTCACACCTACCATGGTACCAGGGACCTCACACCTACCATGGTACCAGGGACCTCACACCTACCATGGTACCAGGGACCTCACACCTACCATGGTACCAGGTACCTCACACCTACCATGGTACCAGGGACCTCACACCTACCATGGTACCAGGGACCTCACACCTACCATGGTACCAGGGACCTCACACCTACCATGGTACCAGGGACCTCACACCTACCATGGTACCAGGGACCTCACACCTACCATGGTACCAGGGACCTCACACCTACCATGGTACCAGGGACCTCACACCTACCATGGTACCAGGGACCTCACACCTACCATGGTACCAGGGACCTCACACCTACCATGGTACCAGGGACCTCACACCTACCCTGATACCAGGTACCTCACACCTACCATGGTACCAGGTACCTCACACCTACCCTGATACCTGAATAACAAAAAAAAAATGCGAAAAGCACATAGGCAAAATTCTCTATTTTTTACTTTGTCATTTTTGTATGTTTTTTAATCAAATTAGTTTTTTGGACTTGTTTGTTACCTTGTTTTTTGTAAATTATTTGTTGCATATTGGCATATAGATATTATTCCCTCATGCTCCAGAATACATGAGCATGAGGGAATGCTCATGCTCTCATGAGCATTCATGAGAGCATGAGCACTCATGTAACACTCAAAATATTACTGAGATCATATTGTAATTAATTAAAGCTTTAGGAAAAAATTTAAACTAATGCCTTTAATTACTATTGAACAAAATTTCAATTTAATCTCCTATATATATATATAAAGATTAGGGTTACACAAAAGTTAAAATGATTGTAAGGCCAATATTAAAAAAAAAAATAACTTTTTTAATAAGTTTTTGGAGGTGAACAAATCCACAAGGGCCGTGACGAGGATTCGAACCTGCGTCCGAGAGCATCCCAGACGCTGCCTTTTTTTTTTTTGTGATATATACAAGAGTTGTTACATTCTTGTACAGCCACTAGTACGCGTAGCGTTTCGGGCAGGTCCCTGGAATACGATCCCCGCCGCGAAGAATCGACTGAGCTACGACATTCTTGGAGGTGTTTTTATGGTGCCTTCAAAAGATATGGAGTGTTTGGACAAGGTTGTATAATGCTGGCGGAGATGGGGGTAAAGAGTTGGAGGGACCTTAAAGGTTAAAGCTTGGTGAGCGATGTTTTGTGGGAATGCTCTTCTCATTGGTTTCCGTCCAGGTTGAGGATATTTGAGCGATCCATGAGCTTTGGAAATGTTGGGGGTATCTTTGTTCATATGTGTTTGTTAATATGTGTGTGTGTGTGTATCTGTGCGCGTGCACATTTACTTACATACATACAGTAGGTTGAATTTATACATACATACATACACACACACACACACACACACACACACACACACACACACACACACACACACACACACATACACATACACACACACACACACACACACACACACACACAGTGTGTGGCGCCGACGAGAAACAATGGGCAAAGTTTCTTTCACCCTGATGCCCCTGTTGCCTAGCAGTAAATTGGTACCTGGGAGTTAGTCAGCTTTCACGGGCTGCTTCCTGGTGTGTGTGTGTGTGTGTGGTGTGGGGAAAAAAAAGTAGTTAGTAAACAGTTGATAGTTGAAAGGCGGGCCGAAAGAGCAGAGCTCAACCCCCGCAAGCACAACTAGGTAAATACAACTAGGTGAATACACTGAAGCCCACATTAAGAGGATATCATCTGCGGCATATGCAAGGTTGGTCAACATACGAACTGACTTTAGGAACTTGTGTAAGGAATCATCTAGAACCTTGTACTCCATGTTTGTCAGGCCATTCTTAGAGTATGTAGCGTGGAGTTCATATCTAGTCAAGCACATGACTAAATTGCAGGAGGCTCAGAGGTATGCCACCAGACCACTACCCGAGCTGAAGGGTGTGAGCTACGAGGAGAGACAACGGGAGCTAAACCTTACGTCGCTGGAAGTAAGAAGAGTTAAGGGAGACATGATAGCCACATTCAAAATTCTCAGAAATTGATAGGGCAGATAAAATCGGCTTATTTAACACAGACGACACGCGCACAAGGGGACACAGCTGGAGACTGAGTGCCCAAATAAGCTATAGAGATATTAGAAAGAACTTTTTTAATGTCAGAGTGTTAACAAATGGAACACATTAGGCAGTGATGTGGTGGAGGCTGACTCCATACACAGTTTCAAATGTAGATATGATAGTCTAATAGGCTGGAGAATCTGCATACCAATTTATTGATGGTTGAGAGGCGGGATCAATGAGCCGAAGCTCAGCCCCCTCAAGCACAACTAGGTGAGAACAACTAGGTGAATTCACGCGCGCGGACTAGATGAGGAAGTTGTCGAACCCAATTTGACATACAATTTTAAATGTAAATATGATCAGAAAAAAAGAGTGAAAAAAGAGTCGGGCAACTGCATAAGAGCAGTTGCTGGGACTGCAAGCACAGCTAGGTGAGAAAACACACCGCCTTCATAGCTCTCCACAAAACCTACGGGAGACCTATTCTTGGGAATGCAGCCCCAGCAAAGAACCCACTATTAAAAGTTGCTCAAGACAAAACAAGATCCTGTAATGATGGAAAGGTATGTAACAAGGTTAATATCTGAACTGAAGCGAGTGAGCTACGAGGAAATACTGATGGAGAAGGTTTAGGCGGACATGATAACGACATAGAAGATCCCCAAATAAATTAACACAGTAGAGAAAGAAGCCATGTTCGAAGTAAAGGGACAATCATTGCACGAAACTATTTGTGACTCTAAAAGACTTAATGTAAATATGAAACAGGACAGTACATCTGGCTATAGTGTCGAATGTAAACATCTGGTTGATACCTGGTTGATACCTGGTTGATACCTGGTTGATGGGGTTCTGGGAGTTCTACTCCCCAAGCCCGGCCCGAGGCCAAGTCTGACTTGAGAGTTTGGTCCACTAGGCTGTTCAAAATAGTTGTTCTTATATTTATTGACCTATTGCAAATTGTTATGAGGAATAACATGTTGTAATTGAGTATATATATATATGTTGATGTATGTGTGCTCCTGCAGGGTGCCGGGGCGAGGGCGGCTGTCCGCCACCAACGCACACCTTCAACTTCTCCGTGCTGCCAGTCGCCGACCCTACAGACCAAGTCCAGGTACGATAACTTCTCTTTACCCTTGCCAGTACTTGATTGTTCCTTTTGGCTACGATAACTTGTTTTTGTTGTGGAAAGATAACGTTTCATTTCTGAGTGTTGTTTTTTTTTTGTTTTTTTTCACTTTCAGGCTGTTGATTTTTGTTATGATGTGAATGTTTTACTGTTTAGGGTATGATAACTTTTCCCTTCTTGATACGATAATTTTTCCTCTCACAATACAGCATTTCTCTTATTACGATACTTTAACCTTCGGATACGATACCTTAACCCAAGACAACAAATACACAAACCCCTCCAGTACGATACCCAAACCCTTCCTCACGATACCCAAACCCTTCTAGTACGATAACCAAACCCTTCCTCACGATAACATATTCAATTCAATCAGCCAAAGAAACATTAATAATAATAATAATAATAACGAGCTAAATACAAACGTCATGGCTGAGCTACGATAATTACCAGGCACATTTCTTCAGGATCACCCCGAGGATGAGACGGTTAAAGCAGTTTAAACTTTAAGTAGCTAATTGGGCCAGCGGCTGTGTGAATTGCCATTACCGGCGGTGAGTAAGCGATCGTTCGCTGTTGTGGGAATAGCCCTTGGGGGGGGGGGGGGTGCCAATTTGGACTCTACGAACAAAAAAAAAAGATGATAATGAAATGATAGCGAGGTTCGTTGTAATTGTTATTGTTTGAGTGTAATTGTATGCGTTATTGGGGACTACCATTGCACGATTAATGGTCTTTAATGCCGTAACTACGATTCGTAAAGTCAATATTGACTTATTAACTACGTGCATAGGTGATATACTAAACATAATAGATACCCTTAAAAAGATTCATAGAAAACACCGACCTTACCTAACCTTGTTAGTATCTTAAGATAAGCATCTTATTGCTTCGTAATTACAATTATTACCTAACCTATACCTATTATAGGTTAGGTAATAATTGTAATTACGAAGCAATAAGATGCTTATCTTAAGATACTAACAAGGTTAGGTAAGGTCGGGGTTTTCTATGAATCTTTTTAAGGGTATCTATTATGTTAAGTATGTCACCTATGCACATATTTAATAAGTCAATATTGACTTATTAAATTTGCGAGAACGGGTTGGTTTACTGCGCCTAATACTGTGATATCAGGCCTCGGAGAACTGGTAGATACGATATCAATATATCTTAGATATGAGATCAAACAAATGACGATCTCGAAGAGGTAATATAATTAACAAGTGGCATTTGTTAATTACGACTTGTTCAGGGTCAGGATGCTACCCACAACAGTTGCGTAACTCCTAGGTGACTATTCTGCTGTTAGGGGAATAGGAGTATCGGGTGAAAGGACACGTTGCTCACACGCCTCAGCCTGCCTCAGGAATCGAACCCGGGACCTTTAGGGTGTGAAGTAGAGTGTCAGGCTTTTTCTAGCAGTCAGATGTGAGGTTCAGGTGTGTTGACAGGTGTACCAGACCTCGCTAGAAGGAACAGTAACAGGTACCAGACCTCGCTAGAAGGAACAGTGCCACAGGTACCAGACCTCGCTACCAGGAACAATGCCACAGGTACCAGACCTCGCTACCAGGAACAGTGACACAGGTACTAGACCTCGCTACCAGGAACATTGTCACGTGTATCAGACCTCGCTACCAGGAACAATACCACAGTTACCAGACCTCGCTACTAGGAACAATATCACAGTTACCAGACCTCCCTACCAGGAACAATTCCACACGTACCAGACCTCGCTACCAGGAACAATTCCACACGTACCAGACCTCGCTACCAGGAACAATACCACAGGTACCAGACCTCGCTACCAGGAACAATGCCACAGGTACCAGACCTCGCTACCAGGAACAATACCACAGGTACCAGACCTCGCTACCAGGAACAATACCACAGGTACCAGACCTCGCTACCAGGAACAATACCACAGGTACCAGACCTCGCTACCAGGAACAATACCACAGGTACCAGACCTCGCTACCAGGAACAATACCACAGGTACCAGACCTCGCTACCAGGAACAATACCACAGGTACCAGACCTCGCTACCAAGAACAATACCACAGGTACCGGGCCTCGTTATCGGGCAGTACCAGCAAACAAGGGAGGCGGACTGGAGTCCCTGTTAACAGCCGTTCGTACTTCAAAGTGGCCGGTGATTGGTCGATTGTGGCCCAGAAAGGAGTCGTGGACTGATGTCCTGTTATGTAGGGAAAGGGTGAGAGAGGGAGAGGGTGTAGGGAGGGAGAGGGTGAGAGAGGGAGAGGTTGTAGGGAGGAAGAGGGAGAAGGAGGAAGATCCATCAGAATCCACCATGTTCTGAATCCATGGATTTAGATAGAAGAACGGTAAGTTTGGAGAGAAGGAAGGGGGGGATGGAACAGGAAGAGAAGAGAAGGATGGAGGAAATGTGGGAGGGAAGGAGAGAGTGAGGAGGGCAAGGAGAGAATTGAGGGAGGGAAGGATACAATGGGGAGAAAGAGAAGGAGAGAATAGGGTCGAGGTATCTCATTTCCGATCACTTCAAAGAGGCGTCGTAGCGACTGCCTCTGTGAGGGAGAGAGGGAGAACGTCGGTGAGAATGTTGGAGATGCCCAGGAATGTTGGAGAAGTGGAGGATGCTCCTGCTCCCCTGTAGGCGTTCCTGTGTCCCCGACGAGGACACATCGAGGACACAGCGGGGATACAGGAGGCCCTAAGACATGACAAAATAAAAACGAGGCCGCTCTACTAATACTGCTAAACTCTCTCTAAATTGTTTTACCATTTTACACGAAGATTATATATTTTTTTTCACGACATATATTTCCAAAGTTATTCTGCATATTTTTAGCTAAAACGTTCCGCGAAAGTTAACTGACTCGTAAGTTTAGCGGTGGTGGGGGGCGGAAGTTTGTGAGCCCGGAGTGTAACGCGACATTAACGAAGACTGCACCGCTGCTCAACCCGCACCCCGTTTTCTTTACGCTAATGCACCTCTGAAGTATTTGTTCTTTTTTTTTTAAACTGTTGAACTGTGTAAAATAATGTTGAATGATGTTGACAGTAAAATTGTGATAAGCAAGATGTGGGAGCAGTCATTGTGTTAAGGTAAGACTGGTAGGCAGCTGATGCTCTCTATCCTGCTAGTACACACGCTTGCGTACACATGTACGCACGCACGCACGCACGCACGCACGCACGCACGCACGCACACACACACACACACACACACACACACACACACACACACACACACACACACACATACACACAGATGACGATGACGGATGAACTGTTCAACACTGGTGGGACGCGAACAAGGGGACACAAGTGGAAGCTGAGTACCCAAATGAGCCACAGAGACATTAGAAAAAACTTTTTCAGTGTCAGAGTAGTTAGTAAATGGAATGCACTAGGAAGTGATGTGGTGGAGGCTGACTCCATACACAGTTTCAAATGTAGATATGATAGAGCCCAATAGGCTCAGGAACCTGTACACCAGTTGATTGACAGTTGAGAGGCGGGACCAAAGAGCCAAAGCTCAACCCCCGCAAGCACAATTAGGTGAGTACACACACACACACAGCTAAATGCAAAGTTATGAGGGTTGGAGGAGGAGTGTGAAGGCAGTAGAGCAGTATAGGATGAAGGGAAGACAGGTTCCACCATCAGACAAGGAGAGAGACCTTGTCTGATGGGAGTGGACATAACCACAACTCTGATGCCAGAAGCCAACATTACCAGAGTAACAACAGCTGCGTGTGTCATACTGGCCAACATCCGGGTAGCCTTCACAAACTTGGAAGCTGCGTGTGTCATACTGGCCAACATCCGGGTAGCCTTCACAAACTTGGACAAATTGAGGGGCTTTCAGGCCAGTATATACAACGAAGGTGAGACCCACACTTGAATATGCAGCCCCAGCATGGAACCCTTACCTGAAAAAAGACAAGGAAAAGACAAACTAGGAAAGGTTCAAAGATATGCAACAAGACTCGTTCCTGAGTTGAAAGGCTTAAGCTATAAGGAAAGACTGAGAGAACTGGATCTTACCACACTGGAGGAAAAGTGAAATAGGGGAGATATGATTGCAACATATAAGATTCTGATGAAAATTTATTAGGCGGACAAAGCAGCATTGTTCAAAGTTAGGAACAGGAGAACGAGGGGCCAGAGTTGGAAACTGCAGACGCAAATGAGTCATTTAACCGTCAAAAAGAATTTTTTAAGTGTCAGAGCTGTCAATAAGTGGAACAGTTTAGACGTAGAAGTTGTCTAAGCTAATTAGATTCAAAATTATAAATATTAATATAATAAATAGTCATTGCATTAATTTTAGACCGTTCGGAAGGCGGGGCCAGGAATCTAACTCGGCCCTATAAGCACATCTAGGTGAGTACACATACATGTTCACAAAAGAAAGGAGTGATCACATAAAGAATGATAAGAAAGTGTGCGAAGAAAGTAAAACCTTTCAGAAAGTTTTTATGATTGAACCAGAACTATTCCCAGTGCTACGACTTTTAATGGAGCAGGTGCTACGAGAAGAGAAACTGATCTACATAGAAGTGACACCAGAGGAAGTATTGAAACTATTAGAGGAGCTGGATGCTCTGAAAGCCACAAGCCCGGCTCTACTAAGGGAGCCGGTGGCTGAGCGGACAGAACACTGGACGCGTGATCCTGTGTTCCCGGGTTCGATCCCGGGCGCCGCCGAGAAAGAATGGGCAGAGTTTCTTTCACCCTGATGCCCCTGTTACCTAGCAGTAAATAGGTACCTGGGAGTAAGTCAGCTGGTACGGGCTGCTTCCTGCGGGTGGAGGCCTGGTCGAGGACCTGGCCGCTGGGACACTAAAGCCCCGAAATCATCTCAAGATAACCCTGACAAAATCTCACCCTGGATCTTATAAGACAACTGCAGCATAGTGTGAACCCCTCGCTATTGTCTTCCACACCTCACTAGAAATGGAGAACTTCCTGACATTTGGAAAGTGGCAAATGTG